ATTTTTTTAAAATTAGCTGGGTGTGGTGGCAAGCGTCTGCAGTCCCAGCTACTCAGGAGCCTGAGGCAGGAGAATTGCTTAGGCCCAGGAGTTCGAGGCTGCAGTGAGTTATAGTCATGCCACTGCACTCCAGCCTGGGCAATGGAAGGAAATCTCGAAAAACAAACAAGTAGATTGGGTGCAGTGGCTCATACCTGTAATCTTAGCACTTTGGGAGGCTGAAGTGGGAGGATCACTTGAACCCAGGAGTCTAAGACCAGCCTGGGCAACACAGTGAAATCCCATCTCTAAAAAAAAGCCAGGCACAGTGGTTCATGCCTATAATCCCAGCACTTTGGGAGGCCGAGGTGGCGGATCACGAGGTCAGGAATTCAAGACCAGCTTGGGCAATATGGTGAAACCTCATCTCTACTTAAAAAAAAAAAAAAAGAAAAAAATACAAAAATTAGCTGGGCGTGGTGGTGGGTGCCTGTAGTCCCAGCTAGGCAGGAGAATCACTTGAACTCAGGAGGTGGAGGTTGCAGTGAGCTGAGATTGTGCCGTTGCACTCCAGCCTGGAAGACAGAGTGAGACTCCCACTCAAAAAACAAACGAAAAAAACATACCAAAAAAAAAAAAAAAAAACCAAAGTGGTTATGGTAAATTTTATGTTATATGTTTTTTGCCGTAATGATAAATTAATTTTAAAAATCAGGGGAAGATGGCAATGACCTGGAGGTGAGTAGGCACAAGGTTAAGGAGAGAGTTATCAAGGATGACAAAACCCAATAAAACACAGCCCCTCTGGCCTCGAGAACTTTTTGGCTCAGCCGAAGGGTTAATAGACAATCACAACACACAGGGTAGATACTGTGGCTTTCTGCTGCAAAGCTAACACAGATACAAAGCCCATGTCCTGCAAATCACCTCAAAATAGACCTTTAATGTCTACAGTCCCCAAAGGCAAACATTTAAGACATAATTATAGGTTTGGCAATCCTCGAAATGAGCACTGCCAGAGAAACATCAGTGAGTAATAAAAAACTACAGGTGTATGCAATATGCAATATTCCCCTTTCAAGGCAACCTCGAAAGTCAGGCAATACTGTGGGTTAAGAGTGTTAGGCCAGGGAGAAAGCAGATTTTTCTGGTCTTCAGCACAACGATTCCAGGATATAAAATCCCCTTGTTGTCTTATAATTCTCAGGATGCCTGAGAACTATTGCTCCTGAGATCTTACTTTGGAATCTAAAGTCGTAAACAAGTTGTAATGATCCTTTATACCCCGATTGAAGGTATATTTTCCTCCCTCACACAAACTCAAACTCTTTTCCTTCAATCGCAAAATTTTATAAATTGCAAAAGTCTGTTTATAGATTTTCCTTCAGTCTTGTTGGTAAAACATTACTGCTCTTTCAAATAGCTCGACTATTCTTCATGGAAAGGACAAAAAACGGGAATTGCTCTTTTCCTGACGTATTATCCCAACCCCATGTTTTTCTGAAAACACCCTGAATGTCACCCTCACCACTGCCTATGTAATATAGCCATCCCTGGTTCAGTGTTGATTTTATTGTCTGATATGTCAAATTCAACGGTGTGATTTTATCTTTTACTGTTTGAAACCTTATCAGTTGCTCCATTCTGTACAAGTTCTCTATCTACAGTCCCCCCTGCAAAATCACGAATAAAGACCACTGCCAGGCTGGTGGCTCACGCCTGTAATCCCAGCAATTTGGAAGCCAAGGCAGGTGGATCACTTGAGTTCAGGAGTTCAAGACCAGCCTGGCCAACATGGGGAAACCCCATTTATACTAAAGATACAAAAAAAAAAAAAAAATTAGCTGGGTGTGCTGGCTTGTGCTTGTGGTCCCAGCTACTCAGGAGGCTGAGGCAGGAGAATCACTTGAACCCAGAAGGAGGAGGTTGCAGTGAGTTAACATTGTGCAGTGCACTCTAGCCTGGTGACAGAGCAAGACTCTGCATCAAACAACAACAAACAAAAACATTAGCTGGGTGTGGTTGTGTGCACCTGTAGTCCCACCTACTGGGGAGGCTGAGGTGGAAGAATCGATTGAACCAGAGAGGTGGAGGTTGCAGTGAGCCGAGATGACACCACTGCACTCAAGCCTGGGTGACAGAGCGAGAATCTGTCTCAAAAATCAAAACCAAAATCAAAAACTACTGCCAAGACCTTGCCTAGTGCCATTGCAGTGACTATCTGTTCTAAGACACCTCCATTTATTTAGTCCTTCCTAATGGATCTTGGAAAAATCCGATAATAACATTCAGGCCTGAGAATCAATAACTGATCAAACTTAAAATGAAACTTCATTCATTCAAAAATAACAGTGCCTCTTATGTGTTTGACACTGCCTAAATGTTGGGAATACAACAGTGAATAAGACAGACAAGGATCCTTTCCTGGAACTTTTCATTTCTTTTTTGAGATGGAGTTTAGCTTTTGTTGCCCAGGCTGAAGTGCAATGGCGCTATCTTGGCTCACTGCAACCTCCACCTCCTGGGTTCAAGTGATTCTTTCGCCTCAGCCTCCTGAGTAGCTGGGATTACAGGTGTGCATCAACGAGCCTGGCTAATTTTTTTTTTTTTTTTTTTTTTTTGAGACAGTCTCCCACTGTTGCCCAGGCTATAGTGCAGTGGCGCCACCTTGGCTCACTTCAATCTCTGCCTCCTGGTTCAAGTAATTCTCCTGCCTCAGCCTCCTGAGTAGCTGGGACTACAGGCGTGCGGTACCACGCCCAGCTAATTTTTTTTTTTTTTTGTATTTTTTTAGTAGAGATGGGGTTTCACCATGTTGGCCAGGATGGTCTCGATCTCCTGACCTTTGTCATCTGCCCACTTCGGCCTCTCAAAGTGCTGGGATTACAGGTGTGAGCCACTGTGCCCAGCCAATTTTTTGTATTTTTAGTATAAACAGGGTTTCACCATATTAGCCAGACTGGTCTCGAACTCCTGACCTCAGGTGATCTGCCCACCTCCCAAAGTGTTGGGATTACAGGCGTGAGCCCCCACGCCCAGCCTGAAATTTATTTTTGTTGCTTATCCCAGAGATTTTTGACTTTTAACAATGGACAAAGTCCCGGTTTGGCTTAAAGACAAAGAGAATCAGGTTCTTTGGAATTAAGCCACGCTTCCTTGGGTGGGAACAGGAGAGGTTCTCCGGGCATCCTGAAATCATACAACAGAGTCCACCTGTTCCTAAGTGGGGTCTCAGTGGAACTATGGACTACATTGTCATTTATGTTGGGCAAATGCCAGGCTCCAACAAGACCATGCCCTTCTGTGGAGTATACTCCATGCCAGGCAAGAATGGCCAAGGACACAGTGGGCCACCATGGGGGTCCTAAGACCACCCCTCAGCTGTTGCTCGGGAAGACATTGCCCCCTCGTGGTTCCTCATGTAATTGAGGGAGGAGCAGGCAGTGCAAAGGGCTCCCAGTTAAGGTAATCAATACAACCAAACACCTGCGAAGTTTCCAGATTAACTGTAGCCTTGTCTCTTCTGAATGTCTTGGGTTGCACTTTCAACAGACTGGGTTTATTTTCATCCAGGATACATGTTTGCTCTCCTTAGAGAGGAATCACATTATGACAGCAATTAAAAAACATTTTTTCCCTGTGGAAATCTTCCTGTTTCAAAATCTCCAAACCCCCAGATAAACCCAGTCTGAAAAATCCAAGTATCACTACTGTATTTCTCTTCAAAATAACCTTACAGCAAATATTTTCCTTGCTTTTTATAATTGGAAAGAAGACTCTGAGAGCATCTTGGTTCATACCACTTCTTTTTGTCTTTCTTTTCCCCTCTTTGTGGAGAACAGGGTGTCGCTCGGTTGCTCAGGCAGTTCTTGAACTCCTGGGCTCAAGCAATTCTCTTGCCTCTATCTCCTTAAGTGCTGAGATTGCAAGTGTGAGCCACCATACCACTTTAAACTCCCTTCAGGCAGGGACCTTATCTGCATCTCCCACAGCCTCCCCCACCCCATCCCCAGCAGCACTTAAACGAGTATAAAGAATGTCTGGAGGGGGGTGGGGAGAAACAGTTAAGCAAATACTGTAGTTAGAAACTGTGACTGGTGCAGGACAGGAACAGCAGGCTGGGGCAGAGAATTCCGAGAAGTGGGGCAGAATCCACTGATGCGTGTAGTTCCACATTTATTCATTTACAGCAGTCAAATCTAAGGGTTTAACACGGTGGCTCCAGGCTGTAATCCCACCCGTCTGGGAGGCCAAAAGCGGGAGGATCACTTGAGGCCAGGAGTTCGAGATCAGGCTGGACAACAAAGTGAGACCCTCATTTTTACAAAACAACAACAACAACAACAAAACCCCAGAAGTTTAAATGATGGAGTATTGGAAAAGTTTCCTAAGGCCCGGGAAAAAAATGGAAGTTTCCTTAGTAATAATGTTAGCTTCCATGTATTGTAAACCTAAACGAAGAATGAATGCTGGGTGCTGCATATAGCTCTAAAACCTGCAGTCTCCTCCAAAACTCTGGAGGATATATTCAACTGTTCCCATTTCACGGATGAGGAAACAAGCTATGCAACCCCTCTGAAGCTGGTGCACAGCCCAGGCCCCCCTTTCTTTTTCAAGCATGATTCCAGCCTCTCAAGTTCCTCTATAAGGACCCCCAGCTCCGCTAGCAATGAGGAGTATTCACTTGGCCAACAAATATTTGAGTGCCTACTACCATATACCCGGTAGCCCGTTTAAATAGCCGTGGGATTAAAAAGATAAATAGGGAAGGGTTTAGGTTTTTTTCTTTCTTCCAGGAAGGAGCTCTCCGAAGGGTGTGGGAGAGGCTAGGTAAACAATCCCAGAAGGGTCTGATGAGAGTTGGGAGAGGAGTCGGGGGTCACGGGAAGACCAGGAAGCGAAGCCGGTGCGGGGGAAGGCTCGGTGCGCGTCGCAGGACCCCCGCTGGAGTTGGGTTTGAAACCCCGTCCTGAAAAAGCCGGCCCGGAGTGGGCTGCCCTGGTGTCCTTCGAGTTCTCATCCTGTCATTAAAGCAGCAGAGGAAGAACCAGGTCTGCCCCGGGAAGGGTGGGCTTAGGGCTAGGGGTGCAAATCCCTCGGTAAAAGCCGGCAAACAAAAGTCGCACATCCCAGCTCCGGGTCCCGGCCCCGGTGGGGCAGGGTTCCCGAAGTCCCGGGGCGCGCAGACGCCGGGGCCCCCGGGAGCGGAGGGAACCGCGGCCCCCGACCTCCCTGCCCTCGGCCTCCCGGGCCCTCGCCCTCCGACCCGCCGCCGAGTCGGGGGCTGGGGTCGCCTCTTCCGCCCGCGGCCCGCGGCCCCTCCCCGGCGCGCGCCATCCGGCCGCCGGCCCCTCCTCCCGCTGGGGGCTCAGTCCCGCGCCCCGTCCCTCCCGGTTGCAGCCGGCAGCCCACGTCCAGGGAGAGGGAGGGCGGAGGGAGGAGAAGAGGCGCGGAGAGGAGGGGGGAGGGAGGAAGGCGAGAGAAAGGGAGCTGCTTCCATCCCGGACTTTCCAGAGCCTGCCTGGAGCGCGCACTCAGCGGCTCTCGGGTCCCAGCGTCCCAGCGCGGCCCGCGCCCCTCAGCCGGACTCCTCCTCCTCCTCCTCTTCCTCCTTCTCCTCTCTGGGTACCCCCGTCCCCTCCTTCCAGCAGCTGCAGCCCCCTGTCCCAACTCGGCCTCATCCCCAACTCTCCGCACTCACTCCTGGGACGCGCGTCCGCGCCCCATCCTTCGCTTCCTTCCTTCCTTCTTCCTTCCTCCCCAGGCGCCCGCCCTCCCTCTCCAGGTCGCCCTCCCGGGGCCCAATTGTCTCGGTGCCCCGCTCCCGGCCCGCTCCCTGCCCCGTCTCTCCCTCGCATTTCCTGAGTCGCCCGCCGCCGCCGCCGCAGTCTCGCCGCGGGATCCCCAGCCCAAGCCCGACAGCCACTGCCCCGGCTTCAGCCCCGCAGTCCGCGGCGCCCGCCCGAGGGAGCCCCGGCGCCCGGGGAAGGCAACAGTGGGCGAGCGCGCCCTCGCCCAGCCCGGCGCCCCAGCCCTGCCCGGCCCGGCGAGGAAGGACCGGGAAGATGAACAACGGCGGCAAAGCCGAGAAGGAGAACACCCCGAGCGAGGCCAACCTTCAGGAGGAGGAGGTACGGGGTGGCTCTGTGCGGTGGCGGGGGCGACCCGGGACCCAGTGCGGGCGGCCGAAGGGGCGCGGGCCCGGAGCGCGGCGGTGGAAGGTTAGGGCAGGGCTCGTGCCCCGGACGCAGCCCCGAAGTGTGGCCCCGGGAGGGTGGATCTCGGGAGCGTGCGTTTTTGTGTCCACGCGCGTCTGCGTGCCCCAAATTGCGTAACTCCAAGGACTTTTCGGAGACTTTTGTAAGTATAATGCTTAGCTTTGTTTGCCCGGGATTTAAAAAGTGGAACCGAGAGCTGACTCCTGGGTGAACTTGGATGATTGGGACTCGGAGGGTCAGGACTTCGGGCTGGGGCTGGAAATTGTGTGTGGATTGCGGGGGCGGTGGGGGGCGGGGTGCAGTTTAAGGAAGAAACTCGGGAAAAAGTTCTCCTTAAAAGATACCTCTGTTCCTGTCCCCTCCCTTTCCGTGTTAAAAGTTCTTGGTGAAATATCTTTCTAGCCAAGGTTTTTTGGATTAATAGATAACTCATCAGCCACATTCTTCTCCGCTGAGTCAAAGACCTCGAACCTTGTGAATTTAGGGGCCGTGGAGATGGGGGGAGCAGAATAAGAGGGTTAAAAATGCAACAATTCACCAAAATGCTCGAAGGTGTTTTCATAGGACTTTGACTTCTGAGCACGCATTGTAGGTGGTACGTCCGTAATCACGGTGAAAGTTTTGCGGCTGCGGAGCGTTCCTTCGGTGGAAACAAAATTCAGTAGATTGGGCAGAAGGGGACTCGGACTCAGGAACAAGCGTTTCAGAATTCTGTAATAGGATATTTGTGGTCTCCTACCAAATGACTCCCTTTCTGCAGGTACATTATCTGAAGTCCAGGAACTTATTTTTGGTGTAGTTTTTAAACATCCCACACAGTTGAGTTCTTAAGAGTTTAGAGGAACTTGAGAGTGTGTGTGCAGATGCAGCAAAGTGCACGTCTTAATATAACCCGAAAAGATTCACAGGTATTGCATCCTGATATAGGTGAACACAGAGGGTAAACCGATTCTAAAGCATTAGGATGTTGAGATCATTGTTAAAACACTGTGTTGTGTGCAAACTTCAACTCTGATAGTGAAACCAAAATTGCAGAGGAATTCATTAATACATGCAAGTTCTCTGCACATTGTCCACTTGGAAAATGGAAACTTTTACGTGGAGAAGGTAGAGGAGCGACACTGTGCCAAACAATGCAAAATAAACAAGAGATTTTACTCTTCACCCACCTGTACGGTAGTGAAAACCTAAGCGACTTGCAGTCAGCCAAAATTGCTTTCTCATCCGAGGATATTTTCTATTTTATTATAAAATGCTATTTGAAGAGTTGTTTACTTGCACGTTTTCTAATTACAAGTATAGGAATGCTACTGACATTTCTTTTTTCAAATAGATGGAGAGTTGAATGGCATGTTCTGCCTTTTTCTTGAACCTTACTGGCTGCTTTACTATTTATTTCCCTACCACTTAAAAAATTTTAAAAATAATGACAAGTTTGCTTTTTAAGGAATTAACTATATTGTACTAATTCACTTACCATATCAAGATAATCATTGCTTCAGAAATCTTTCTTATTTCAGCTAGATGTGCAATCTGGTTGCTTCTCGGGGTTAGAATATTATAGGAAACCATCTTTCTTCATTCACCCAGTTGAGAAAACTTTTGTTTTTTCCTTTTAGTAGGTAGCAAAAGAGGTTCAATGTCCTAAAAATCATACCCACTTAAAGTTAAGTATAGAAAAGTCACATTTTTCCACCTGACCCATATCTTAACTGCTGCCAGGACTGAGGGATTGCCTGCCTGGTTCTTGGGCTGTCCTCAGTCCTTGTGAGGTTGTGTATGATAATTGCTATATAATCACCGGCCATTGCTGTCCAGTTGCTGCCTCTAATTTATCCTGTTACCCTGACAGTATTCCTTTTCAGGTAGGAATGGCATGTGGCTCTAGAAAGTATCGATATTTTTTAGCAAAACATTTGTTATTTAAAAAATAAGGGGACAGGCAGGAAGATTTCAGAATCCAAGTTGTCCAAGAGATGTCATGTACCAAACAGATAAGACCATGAAGAGAGGGGGTTTATAATGTCAGAAATTCAGGAAAAGAAACTAAAGTGGCCTGAATGATCCAGGTAATTTTGCCTAATTTCCTATTTTTGGTTTATATTTTGTTCTTGAAAAACTCTTAACCCCTCTTTTTTTTTTTTTTTTCTTTCTAACCCTGAAAGCCACAAGTAAAATAAATAGGGCATTTGGCGAATGCCATTAATGTGCCCAGCATTACACAAAACCACCACACTAACCCTTTCCCTGTCCACCCATCGTATCAGCAGCTTGCTCTTAAGCACGTTTAAAAACCTTGGCAGTGGACTCTGGTAAACAGAACACACACATACAACATACATATACACATAATGACAAGAGAGGAAAAATGTGTTTTGTTGTAATTTCTGGTGGCCGTAGAACTGACATGGAAAAATGAGTCCAATCATCATTAAGGGAAAATAGTTTATTTCATAGATCATGAGGGTGGTTTGGGCTTTCTTCCACATTGCAGAATCCAAGTTTTTTGTTTTTTTGTTTTGAAATGAATTCCTTTTATCAACCAGTGTATTTTAGCTGCTTTTGAGAGTTTAGAATGCTTACCCCTGAAATAATTGTGCTGAGATGCTTCTTTGGTTCTAATTGTACAGAATGAACAATTCAGGATCTAGGAGATTTTTTGCAGCTTTTTAGGGTTGGAAGTTTTTGAGAACTTGAGCAGAACATGTATTAATTTTTCTACTTTGGATGGCATTGAAAACTTTGAGGAAAAATAATTTTAGGAGTTGGCTAGCCAGTTGTGTAAGAGAGATGGTGCATTTAGCTTTCTGATTTTTAATGTGTTAAGCGTTTGCGTTCCCTAAGCAAGTTGTCCTATAAAGACTAACCAATTGTCAAAATCTTACCGAGATTTACAAGATTTGTTTGTATATATTTAGAGTATCATATCATTTCCTGTATTTTACAATTGAGAAAATAATTCCTAAAATTTCTCTAATTTTACAGAGTTTATAAAAATTAATATATGCCCAATAGACCTGTAATTATTTGTCTCATCAGTTATAATTTATGAGTTTAAAGTATTTTTAAATATATCAAGACCATTTTTGTCTTACAGGTAGAAATAACTTGTTGGTCACTGAATTTTCAAAATAGATAATTTAGATTAAATATGTGATTTAGTTTTATTTCCACTTTTATCCATGTCATTGAGTACTTTTCAGGCTTATTATAAAACATCTTTAGAGGACTTTTTATTATATGGAAGTACTGTTGTTAATTTCTCCCTAAATTGCTTTGAATCAACTTGTACTTACAGTAAAACTAAAAAAGCAAAAAACTTGGAAGTGTTGGAATATTAATCAAAAAGACATGCAGAAATCCTATCAAGTCAGTTCTTCAGAGGTTAATACACATCTTTATTTTGCATTCCTTCTTTTAAAGTGCTTACTAGTTTTGCCAAAATACTGGGGTTGTAAAGAAAATTATTTCTTATAGTTGGCACAGAGAGGGTAATGTCAGTTTGATGTGGCAACCTCAGATTTTCATTGAGCATTTAAAATCAGTCTACATTATGACTTCAGGAAGGTACACCATGGTTTTATACAATTTAACCAAGATTGGAGGTCTCTGTTATTCCAAGTCCAATCCATTGCAGTAAATGTATATTTCAATCATAGAACAGGATTTGGTGATAACTGATACTTCAAGACCCCTGCCAATACGGCGTGCACTTGTGAGTTATTTTTCCAATGCAGTTTCAACATTTCTCTGATAAACCATTGTGTGCATCTGCAGTCTTCTTTTTTTCCAGTGGCATTTAGTTTTAAGATGGGCAGTTTGGAAGGGGTGCAAGTTGTTTTCTGGAGATACTTTCATATAATTTTCGTAGGTTCATACTACTTTCTGCTTTGAGGATAAAAGTGTTCAGTGCTGGTGATAAGGCAATAATGTGGGTACTTTGTGCATGGCAGTGGTGATGTAAATTAGTGTAGCTTTTCAGAACGGACTGACACCGTCAAAATGTGTTCAGGCCCTTTGATTTAGTACCTTTATTTTTAGAAATTTGCCCTAAGGAAATGGTATAATAAAGAGTTATATATAGGAATGATTATTGCAGAGTGTGACAATGTTATTGTCATGACAGTGACAATTCAGAGACATTCTGTATCTAACATGGGAAATTGCTAACTAAATCATTGCGTAAGTCTGGAAGGGGAATATTATGCAGCCACTAAAGGCTCCATTTTTAAAGAGAAAAATACATGTATTGTAAAATAGGTATTATATGTAAATACATATTTATTATTATACATATGTAGTTATATACTATTCTCTGTGTCCTGGAGGTCAGACACCTGAAATCAAGGTGTTGGCAGGGCTACCATGCTCTCTAAAGGCTGTAGAGGAGAATCTGTCTCCACCTCTTGCAGCGTCCGTGGCACCAGACATTCTGAAGATTATATTTTTATTCTCATGTTGTGATATTAAGTGAAAAGAACTGATTTTAAAGTTGTATACAATGTGATGCCTGTAGTCAAATACATGTTTATAAAACTAAACATCAATAAACTGTATCTGATTGGTGGATTACAGATCATTGCTATTGACTTTGTGGTGCTTTTTGGTGTTTTAAGTTTTCTAAAACGACCATGTCAACAAAGAATTAAATGTCTTTTTGCTTTGAAGCTTTCCTTGAATTGTGATATTCACAAAACTGGGGTTGGTCATATTTGATTTTGCTCACAAGCCTAGCGGCAAGAACTCATAATAGTCTTTTCTTAGTACTATTAATATTTCTCTTACTTTGGGAGGCCTAGGTGGGCGGGTCATGAGGTCAAGAGATCGAGACCATCCTGGTCAACATGGTGAAACCCCATCTCTACTAAAAATACAAAAAATGAGCTGGGCGTGGTGGCGCGTGCCTGTAATCC